TTCTTGGATTTTTACTGTAGGTCACTCTGGTGGCTCTAATGTGACACCTCAGATCAGATCGGGTCACCCACATCGGTCGGATGGTTTTACAATAAGGATTATGAACCACGAATCAAGCACATCGATATTTATTGATACCTTTGCAATACAAAAATGAAATGAATACCATTGAAATACATGTTCGTCTCCTTAAGATACATTCAACGATGATTATGAAGGTGATCAGTTCAACTAGACCAATCAGTATTAAGAAGTGAATAATGTTGAAGTATCTCGGTCTGAATGATTGGAAAGTATCGTAGTGTTGGAATTGGTTAGTTTAATTTGACTCGAAATCTTGATAATTAGATATAAATCCTAAATTATATAAATTTTTGTTTTACTCTCATTGGGTTAAATTACTAAGAATTCTTCGAGAAACCAAAATGTCTAAAATGCCTCTGATTGCCTGAATAATGGAATCACTATTGTCATATCTGAAATCTCAAGTAACTCTGATGTAAAAGATTCTGAATACCTTTCTGATTACTTAATGCCTCTGAAAAATATATGAATACTATGATCTTGATAAATCACTTCCTGAATGACTGTTGAATCCACTAGCTATCAAACTTCCTTTTTATAAGGACATCGTTTCTGAAATTCAATCAATTTGTAGAAGTTTCATGTTTCCCCTGCTTGATAATTGCTAAGTACCTCCAAAAAATAATTGGATCATGTAGTGTGTTCCTTATATGTCATATAATTGTTTTACCTGTTTAGAATGTGATTTTTTTAAATTACGGATTTATTAAAGTATTGATTTGATGTTTATGAACTATGGTTATATGATATGTGTTCTCTAGTTATTGTTTTTACTGATAAATAAATATGTCTGAACTCTTATTTCTGCTACCATTGATTACTGTCTGAAAATTTTTTTTCTTCGGGTACTCTGGATCTGGTATGAAGTCTCTGCAGGTTCAGTTCTGATCAAGCTGACAATTCCTTATATTGGTTCAATATCGATCAGTTGGTAATTCCTTATTGCATGTTCAATTATGATCAAACTGGTAATTCCTTATATAGGTTCAGCACCGATCAGCTGATAATTCCTTATGGACCTAAGGTGGCCCTTGGGTGGGCTTCTAGGTCCAATGGGCCTAGTGGTAAGACCTTATGGACTCTAAGGTACTCCCTTAGGGTGACTCCTATATTGGGTACATTGGGTAAGTCCTTATGGGCCTGAGGGCATACCCCTCAGGAGGGCACCTACTATTCGGCTAGGGTAATACCTTATGGACCCAAGGTACTCCCTTAGGTTGGCACCTACGCCTTGGGTAAGTCCTTATGGATGCAGTTCTATGGAACCGCATATCGGTGTTCGGTTGGAGGGTATTACTGTGGTTTTAAAATATGTTTTAAACTACTAATGTTTTTTAAAGGATCTGTACACATTTCTCTGTTTTGTTGGAACACACTAGACTCCCCAATTTAATCTTTTGAATCTGTCTCTCACTGAATATTTCCTTAATACCGTAAATTTCTATTTGTAACTGAAGATTTAGCTAATGGAATCTAAATTCACAGCTAGAATCTAATGATAGATATCTTGCTAAGGAATTTATGGTTTACCTTATACCCGATGACCTATTGCATTCATCTGGTAGTTATGTATTACTGCGTTTTCCAAAGCTCACTGTGTTACTTACTATTTCAGGTTAAAGAGTTTGATCTTGTGTTTTTACTGACATTAGTAAAGGAGTTCCACCAGTGTTGCTTGCGGAGTACGGTGCATATAATTAGGGAGGGGCATGTAGGTTGTATTATGCTTTTATATTTGAGTTTGAAACTTGTTTTACTACTGGATATTGAAGGATTTTATTTTAATATTTAAATGATTTTCTGAAATTGTATTTTTATCTATAAATTATTTTACGGTTTTAAATGAATTAACAAAAAAATTAAATTTTTCCTGGATTTTTACTGTGAGTCGCTCTGGTAGCATTAATGTGAAACTTATGATTGGATTAGGTCACCCGCTTCGGTCGAGGATGTTACAAAAAGTAAATATGTCATTTGTCTTTTATTCTTTAAGTGTCTAAATTTCATCAAAATCTTTAATTCTAGTTTTAATATGCGCCAAACACTTGTTTTAACTTGTAAAACACAAACTCTAAAACATATAGACTTATAGATAATTTAGTTCATGAAAACATAGGATAATTTATATATATATATGCCCGTATTCAACGAGTTTCGACCCGGCCTGACCCTTTCAGATTGTTTTTTTTAATCGGGTTCGAGTTGGGCTGAGACAGGTTTAGGGTGAAAAATATGTACTCAACCTAAAAATAATATAATTCTATCATATATATTTAGAGATAATTGTAATAATACTCTTCTCTATTTTTTTTTCAATTAGAGCTCTATTTTTATTGAATAAAATTAATATTTTTATAAATATATTTATTTCTGGTCGGATCTTATTTAGGTTTTATATCAAAAAGACGGATTGAATTTAGATCGCGTGAAATTACCCTAAACTTGGGTCAAGTCGAGTTTTAGGTAGATGGAGCATAATTTTTGGGTTTGGTCGTGTTGACCGAAAATCCGACCCAACTCGACCCATGTTCATCCCTACTTATCAGTATTACTCCCATAATTATTATATGATAGGATAATAAATAAATCAAGTTTAAAAAACAAATGTTTATTTATGTTACTAATCTGTCAGAGCTTGTTAAGTATTTTAAAAGTATACTAGTATTCATTTATTTATAGTTATCTTATGTTTGTTAGTTTAACATTCACCAACATATTTATGAATTTGTTGATGAATACACGATTGAAAATTTTATAAATAACTAAAAATATATTCATAAATAATATATAATAGAATTATAAATGAATATAATAATTATATTATAAATAAAATTAACATAAATATTTTTAAATATCATTTATAGAAAAAAATATTAATATTAATAAACCAATTAATAATCGAGCCTAAAAATGAATTAATACACAAGTGTATAAACAAATTTATTCGTGAATATAAACTAACCAAACACACATTTCTTCAAACTCATTCGATTAATTAAATAGACAAATTTTTTATTCGTGCTCATATTTTTATAAACAAATAATATATGAATGATTTACGAATAATTTGCCAAACACTCTGTTTATTTAATATCTTATCCTATGATTATTATCACAATTTAATAACTTATTCTATGATTATTATCACAATATGATTATCGTTAATATATTTATAGAAATTGTCATTTTCCTTTAATGATGATTTGGAGCAGGTTAGATATTGTGCCTTATCTATTATTGTCCTTTTTTCCTTTAATGATTTTGTTGAGGCAGGTTAGATATTGTGTCTTCGTGAAAGTGACAAACAAAGGGATAAATATTCGATGGGAAAACAAAAAAACAAAATTAGAGATCTAACCACGTATTTCAGGTGATTTTGTGTATTATATTTTAATCAAATTAAAAACGTTTTTGATTAACTAATTAATTATATATATTCGGTTTGATTTATCTTTTAATGCATATTTTATTACTATTTAAGAAACTTCCATGCAAACTCAGATTTAGCATGAAAAATTTATATTCAAGTCTTCCAATAATTTGCAGAGCCTATTTTAATATTATGTAGATCAATCAATTTATGCAGAGTTTGAAGTTTATTACTTATAGAGCTAATTGCATCATATGTCCCCAAATTATAATCTTCATTTTAAATTGGTCGTGTTTAATGTCATCCCCAAACTATGACTATCATTATAAATTAGTCATTAAACTTTTGAACATTTCATTTTCATCCCTAAACCATGACCCTCTTTATAACTTAGTCCCCAAACTTTTTGAACATTTCAATTTCATGACAAATTCATCCAAGCATGTAATTAGTTTCAACCCTAATTTAACCTAAATTTTATTTTTTTTTCAAACATATAATAATATAACTCGGCCTTCAGGTTTTATTAACAATGGATGTGATTAGTATATATGTATAGTTTGGAATGAAATTGGAATGTTCAGAAAGTTTGGGGACTAATTTTGAATGAAGGTCATAGTTTGGGGATGGAATGAAATGTTCAAAAGTTTAAGGACTAATTTATAATGATAATCATAGTTTGAGGATGAAATTAGAATATTTAAAAGTTTAGGGACTAACTTAAAATGATGGGCATACTTTGAGGACATATGATGCAATTAACTCTTACTTATACATCACTAAACTTTAAGAAATACATGAAATGCACTATTGTAATTTCGCATTTAGTATCAATCATTACCCTCCGCAAGGTTTTCTTAAAAGCACCATTTTAGCATATGGTGCAACACTTCGAACTCATTTCGAACGAGCAATGAGTTAATACATTATTTTTTCCCAATTTTAATCAATCAAAAACTCATAAAATATTATAAAAATGTTATAAATCATAACGAACCAAGTTTTCATATAGGGTAATATAACCCCGAGTTCCATTTGATAAATCAAAGTATAAAATAAAATATATCGATGAAGTTTATAGACCAAATTTTAGTAAGAGTCCTACATTATGGATACTTGGTAAAGGAAATTTAGATGCTGTACTCTGATTTAGAAGTGCTAAAAATTCCTCGTGGATGCTATCGCCCCGACTCAAACTTGAAAGCCTACTATCCCTCGCATGAAAAAATAATTTTGACCGTTGAGTTTTACGAAGATCAATGGTACAAATTTACTCTACTATATCACTTGAAATAGATAAATCTAAACAAGTTAATCATAGAATGAACAATAAGCAATTAAAGTATTAAATACATTTAAGAAACTTAGCTTGAGCATAAACAATTGTTGGTATCTAGTCTAGCAAAAATTTGCAGACCCCTTTTCAATGCGCTGTAGATCAATCAATTTATGAAGAGTTCGAGGTTTATTCCTTACAAATTACTTAACTTTAAGAAATACATGAAATACATTATTGTTATTAGGCGTTTAGTTTTCTTAAAAGCACCACTTTAGTATATCATACGAATAGGCTAATTTTCTGATACATCATTACCTGTTTCGTTGCTTTTAGCAGACGAGAAAATAATATCGAGACATGTAGCTGTGGATGCCGGTATTCTCAGGTTCCGGCTTCAATCAACCATCTAAGGCTTACGAGCAAGTTTGATGAAAGCAGTACTTGGTCTCTCATCTGCAATCATTTTGCTCTCATAGAAGTCTAGAATCTCCATGGAGATGTTTTTTACCTGCCAGTCTCAATAAAATTTTAAATGTTAAACAAATAAAGACAGTTGTGAAAGTGTAATTTCAATTGTGATATGAAGGGAGGAAATTGCAGAGAACTCGAACTTCAGAGCAACGCTCGATAGAAGGTGATCGGTAAATACCATGCAATTTACAGTAGAAAGAAAATGCATGTATTTCTTCCCAGTTAAAAATAGGTGGTAAAAAGTGCCTCGCCAGACAAATGGAAAAGTAAATTTCCAAAAGGCAGCCACTTCTTGGTATTACATATGGATTTTAATTAAGAAGCGAGATTTTATGTCTCGAAAGAAACCACAATGCTTGGTATCAAATTTAGCTTTAGAAAACTAACCACATTCATATCGACACGAAGTTCTTCGAACCAAGTGGTGATATCTTTCTCCCTGTATGCACTAGCGATGTATATGCAAGCTAAGGCAATCAAATACGGTGGATGTGTGAGAATAAGGTCCATCTTGTATGTATCATTTAGAAGTCCCCCGTGTTTCAAAATGCCATGTGTAGTATATTTATTCAGTTAACTAGAACTTTTTTCTTGTGGTATGTTTGTGTTGTGAAATTGTATTGTATCCAAAGTTATCAAGTCTCATGTGTGGTAGCGATGGAATTGACAGGTAGCTACAAATATTCAAAACAAAAGAGTTTTCACAGATACAAGTATCCAAAACTTCTACCTCCACCAACTTTCATTCTCAGTTTCTCAATAAATACTGCCGAATAGTCACCACAAGATAATCTACATGGACTATAGCACAAATATGATCCTATTTAATTCCATAGGTCAGGTTAAAGGCAACATTGTCCACACATAGTCGGCAAAGCCAAAGGCAAAATACTTTCAGCAGCTCCTTTTCAAGTTCAAGACTTGTGGGAAAAAATCGAACTTTTTTTGGCATTTTTCAGACACGCATTAAATATTTTAACTTCAAAAGGTACAGATGATGGAGTTTTGATACTTACCAAGATATCTGAGTCATATTCGTATCATTCATGCCAGCATCCTGCAACAACCTGCCAAGGTAACAGGCACAAGATACATTCCAGGTGAAAAAAAATCCTGATGATAATTAGCAGAAAGCACAATGTTGAAATAATCTAAAGTAGCTTAGTTCCACTGTATTTGGTATTGGGAAAGACAAGTATGTCTTAAAGTCGCATATCAACTGTAGATTACCAGATAAGGCTGCATTTAATTTACGTTCATTAGAAATGTTTAATAGGGAGTCTATCATAAATTTGCATCTCTATAATATAAAAACAAGTATTTACTAAATGCTAACCTAATTATATGAAAAAAAAATGCATTACTATCAAATAATAGACAAAATCATTTCAGAGGGAAATGTGAAAGATTTTAAAGAGCAATAGCAAAAAATGGGAAAAACAAGACGTGCACTAGATGTAGAGCTTGACAAAATAATAGATAGAATGACCTTACAGGTTTGGATCTCCACAGTAATCTAACTTATTAAGGCAAAAGTTACTGTTTCGTTATTCCCCTATTTGTTCCTTCCTTATTCCAACAATAAATTGGTAACCATGCACAAGATCATTGGTGCAAATAAAATACAAATACAAGTGCATAAAAATTATGGGAAAGAAGATAAAAATTTACAGGGACAATGTGCGGTAAGGATGAAATACAACTAAATAATAGTTAAATGCTTCAAAGATCTTCATTTCCATTTCAAGTATGTCTTTGATTTCACATCTATACTTTTCATCAGCAGCTTCAAAGCAAATATGGCAGAAATTGCAGTAAACAAACAAATTCAAGAAATTTAAAGGATAATCAACCAGATTAGTTACAAGTAATTACATAATTTTTTAATGTAAAATACAAGAAGTCATGCCTACACTGTGCTTTCTTCTGCCTTGGATGCCAAATATAAGCAACTAGGACAACAAGATGTGGATCTATTCAGTCATGCTCTGTCTGTAAGACAAATTAGAAACCATGATCAGTGATTCATAACCCATTGTATGGAGGAAAACCAAAGCTTCTACAGATTTACATTCAATACATCTCTTCCCATCTAATAATTCATGGTTGCGGGGTAGGAAAAATAATTATAAGTGTCTAAATTTACATGGGAAAATTAATTATCAAGATGTGACTATGAAGAATGGCTTATAAGAGGTAGCAGATCATTTCAGCTTAAGGATGGAATCATGGAAAGATATAGAGAATAATGCATAAAGTAGGAAACACCAAGTCACTTCTGATATATTTGTAACATGTTAAATAACTGGAACTTTCTAGTTGAAAAATCGAAAGAAATTCATAGTTTGAGTAGAAAAGAAAAACAAGTATAAGACAAATAAACTAGGCAAAATACCTAGTATAGACACGTCTCATATAAGTAACTGTAGTTGCCACAACCCTGAAATATCTACCGTCTTAACGCTTATAGCAATGTGAAAACTGAACCAGTAAAGTAATTTTGTGCATCGTGCTCGTGATGATGGCGATTTATACTCGATTCATTGAGCAAAGAAACGAGCTAGATTCGATGCTTTTTTAGGAAACAATTGACTCAAAAACGAAAGAAACTAGCTCTGTTTACGCATATTATGATATAAAGCATACAAATCTTAAGAACTCCTTGCAGTTAGCACACTTTGAGTGATTACTTGCTACAATTTCCCAGACAATTTGTAACCAACTATTTTCAGAAGCTATTGTGTTAGAATGACAGTTACAGCAAACAAAGTGCTTATACATGGATTAATAATTTGATTAACTAATATAAGAAGTTTCAGGCTGAATGTCCATGCACGTGCATGTGATAATCAGTTTTCAGCTAAAATCAGCAATAGAACTCAAACAGATATACATGGCACATAATGAGAAGCTTCCATTTTTCTATTTTTAAGCTTCCCAGCAGAATTACAGTAAGTGATCGAAAAGAGATGCCCCACCCTTAGATAGTCCAGTTCAGAATGGGGTATCACTATGAAACAGGGATAAACATACTAAATCAGCCTAATGAAACAGGGATATTAGTCACATCAGCAGTCAAATTAGTTCATATTCACCAAAAACTGCTACAATTTACATTGTTAGCATGAAAAACCACAGGAGTATACACAATTTTGAAAGGAAATGTGAAGATAAAAAATTTGATGGCATCACTGAAATCATTCAAGTAAACAGCAAGGTGTTTCTTAAAAACAAAGAGAGAAGATCAAACCTTTGCCTCACTTTAACATGTTGAGCCAGTTTCATTATATCTAGGAAAGGGGAAAAAGCACAAAATCACAATCTTCAATACGGAAGTAAATTAGAACAAAGCTAATAGGTTTGTTCAATCAAATTAAGCAAGGCACGTGTCTGCATGCAAAATGCATTCTAAAACACCACAGATTTCCTTTTAAATTCCGTCTCTAACTACAATAATAAGCCCAGAGAGAACAGGCCTCAAAGTAAATTTCAGAAAAGAAAATATGGAATTACAAATTTTCTTCTATTGACGAACTTGTTTGACAGCCATGATAGAAGCAACCATTAAAGCTAATATTCTAAACTGAAGGACCCTCTTATTCATGAAACAATCCCATGGTGACAATTTGAAGCAACCAAATCTAAAGTTCTCATTTCATTATAATACGAGCACTTACAATGATTATATGCTCGTGATTTTGAATACCCAAGATGCAAAAATTACAAATTCCCATCGATTGTAACATGCAGGTTGAAGATGAAGAAGATGAAGAAAACCCCAAAACCAAACTCAACTTTATAAGCAAAAAAAAAACCGATATTACCAATAAATAATAAATACCCAGATTATAAAATTCACAGAGAAAAAGCCAAAATTTACAACAACAACAACAAAAAGAGTAAGAGTAAGAGAGAAAGGAAACATACAATTCGCCATATGGATCTTAATGAGCTTAAATTCTTCAAGAGTGATGTCTTTATCTTTATCTTGTTGATGTACCACATCCACCTCTTCCGGGTCCAAAAGCTATTTACTGCTCAAACAAAATCAAATCAAATACGACGAAGAAGACATCAAAAACGCAAATATTGAAACAATCTAAACCCATGAGATGGATTGCAATTCAGTGAAAGGAGTTTGGTATCGGTAGTTACAATCTAAACCCATGAGAAGAAGTCCAGAAATTGGCCGCCATTTTTCTTCTTTTCGTTGATCGTGTAGGTGAATTGGTGTTTATATTAGCTGTTTAGTTAGACATCATAATATTTGAGTTTTGCAGGAGCCATGATTACGGATTAACGTTCTGAATTTTACACTTACGAATTTTCTTTCTGTGGTCAGGAGCTAGGGAAATCAGACTTTATAGGCCCACGATTATGGAATTTGGGCTACATTTTTTTAAAGTAGGTTGTTATTGTCTATAGGAAATAAATAAATAAAATTTCCCTCTTTCTATTTTGGCGAAAAGGCACTAAAAGCTCTTGTACTTTTCAAAACAATTTAATGTAGCCATCAAACTATTTTTACACTTAATTTGGCCCTCCAACTTAAAAAATAATCAATGTGGCCCTTTCACCAACGGTTTCTATAGTTGATCGTTACGATACTGACTTGGGGCTTGACGATGCTGACATGGCAATTTATGATATTGACGTGGTGATTCATGGTGGTTAATGACGTGGTAGATAGATTAAATTGATTTTTTTTTTAGTTTGAGGGTCAAATTAGTTTTCTTAAAAGTTCAGGGGCTTATTTAATTTTTTAAAAAATATTTAAATTTTAAAACTTAAAATATACAAATATAAAAAATAAATATAAAAATTAAATTACTAAAAGATTAATATATATATATATTAACCATAACGATTGAAAGTGTTATTGTTAAATGATTATTGAATTTAGAGAAAATTATTTATAAACACATGTTGTGTATCTAAATCTAATTCGAGAGTTCAAAACATTGAAAGATCAACAAAATAATAAATTAGTGTTATCTTAATTAGTCGCGACGACGTCAAATCTAATCTTGAGAAGTATAAATAAAAGGACGACTGTAGACCCCATATTTTGTCCTCATCCCAGCAGCCCATACCTCACCCAGCCTGGCCACCAAGCCTCCACTAGTCCTTGTCTGCCTCCACTAGTCCTTGTCTCCCTCCACTCACAGTAAAAAAATTGCATATGATATTGTATTTAAATCAACAAGTGTATGATTAGTTTATTATGTTAAATCTGTAAATGGCTATAAATAGCCGGATGAAGTTGTACATCAGGGAGGAGGAGGGATTCCATACGTTTTTTTAGAAGCAATAAACTACTAGATTGAAGGTTATTTTCTATTTTTTATTACAATTTCTTTATTTTTATTATTATTTTTTATTGATTTTCTGTTTTGAATTTTTAATAGTTTTTATTTATTTATTTTCAATAGTTTTTTATTATTATTTTCGAAATAGTATGTCATTTTAGGTGTTATAAATACTAATATATTCACACATATCTGAAATTAAAAAGTAATCGAATGTTTTTATTTATTTATTTTAAACCTAATCGACTCAACTAATAGCATAAAATAATATATAAAAAATAAAAAGAGAGTCAAAAACTTACCTTTGTCGAAGGAGTGTCGTCAGGTGGGAAGATTCGAACTAAATTGTAAGGGATTTTCTCCCTATTTTTCTCAATAAAATCAAGGCAACTAAACGAATTTCAGATATGAAAACAAAAATAAAGAAATAAGGAAGAGATGGGGGTTCTGGAGATCCACGGGAAAAATAGAATTTAGGGGAAGGAGTTGCTTTTATTTTAATTTTGGGAAAACCACAAGTTAACTCCTCCTTATTTCATAGCTTTTTGTGTTCTAGTCACTAATTTTAGTTTAATACTATTTAGATCCCTTTCTTTTCCATGTGTTACATTTAAATCATTATATAGGGTCAAATCACTCCTAAGTCCCCCTAGTCTAACCATATTTTAATATTATGGTCATTATGCTTTCGAATACTTTATTTTAGTCATTATTTTACATTTGGCTTAATTATTGTTTGGTCTTTTAATTTTTTTTTTTCGCTATTTTAATATTTTAAATTTCTATTTTTATTTAATTTTTTTTTGCAGCTTATTCCTAGAATTAATTTGATCCATGAATTTTAATCCTTTCCAATTTAATTTTTTTTTATTCGAATTTTCCTTTATTCTTTTTTATTTACTCTTTTTTATTTCGATTTTAATACTAACTCTTTGTGTTTGTTTGTTTTAGTTTTTTACTTTATTTATGATCTTTTTAGGATAATTTTAATCAATCAAAGGTAAGTAATTTGAATCGAATTTTTAAATTTTAATTTTTGCAATTAAGACAACCGATAAATTAAATGGTACCGAAAGGACAGTTCAAGGGTGCTAATCCTTCCTTGACTGTAACCGACTCCCGAGCCCTACATATTTCTGGTAAAATGCAGATCAGGTAATATGGTATCCGATCAACCTAAATATTTTGTTTAAATGATCGGTGGCGACTCCTAATATTTTATTTAAGTCGAAGCCCAATTCCGGGCCCAACCCGAAAGGCGGTCGAGACAGCTTGGCGACTCCGCTGGGGACAATAAGTGAGTCAGACCATAATTAATTTTCGGTTGTCTTTTTATGCGAAAATGGTAAATTTAAATTTTAATTTATTTATTCGATTCCAATTATTTATCTTTGAATATTTTTCAAATAAATAGTTGTACTAACGTTTTTTAATGTTTTCAGATTTTTCAAAATTGTC